GTCGGCTAGCTTGCAAAAATGGACCAGTGGCTGAAAACTAATTTACAGAAGCATGCAAAGGATAAACAAGCGGTCACGGGAGTGCTGACTTCAGAAAAGAATGGGCAGGCCTTGCGAGCATTTACTGACTCTGGATCTTTATGTGCTGGGCTAAGAGAAACTATGACCATGCACGAGCCACTGTTCCTAGTGCAAACTGGAAATGCAAAGATGAATACTTAGAAGGAGAGATTCAGTTTCCCAAGCAACCTAGTACTCCCATTTCTTAACTATCAATTCATTTCTTAACTATCAAGAGTCACCCTCTGGGAGAGATGGGCAGCATACAAATTTAATAAACAAACAAACTCACACAAAGAGTTGTTGTGGTTGTGCTATTATTATTGTTGGTCACACAGTCAGCCAGATGTTTAGACTGGATTTGGCATTTTTATCCACCTATCGAGTCCTTCCCAAGGACGACGACGACCACCACCACCACCACCATTGCAAGTGGTAAGTAAATAATTAATTTTGGGCATTTCTGGGTGCAATGTTTAAAAAGGCCTTTAAAAATGGAAAGGCATACACAAATGAAGCATCACAGAAGAGGAACTCCTGCACTCCTAAAATCAAAAACGGAGGGAGCACGTGTTGGGTTCATTGGGTGGTTCCGGCATTTTCCAAATGTTAAGTTAGTGGCCTACAATGGTGGAACCATTGAGAAACAGTGCTGTAGATAGGCTAACCAACTGTTTGTAACCTGGATGGAATTTTTCTTTTCCTGTGCTGTTACTTGAATAAGGAAATGTTTCTTGAGGGGAGAAGATAAAGGGGTTTTTCCAAAAAGGCCCAATGAAGCAATATAGCAACAGACTGACCTTACACCTTCTGTTTAGATCAGTGTTCCTCAACTTCAGCAACCTTGAGATGTGTGGACTTCAGTTCCCAGAATTCCCCAGCCAGCCCAACAACTTTAAGATGTGTGGACTTCAACTCCCAGAATTCGCCAGCCATGCTGAAGTCCACACATCTTAAAATTGTTGGGCTGGCTGGGGAATTCTAGGAACTGAAGTCCACACATCTCAAAGTGGTTGAGGTCGAGAAACACGGGTTTAGATAAATCTTGCCCTGCTTTAGCTCCTTCCCTTGGGCTCAGAAAGCTCTTGTGCCTTTTGTACGATCATCCTGCTCCATGGAGCACTCAGGGACACCAAATTAGTCCTCGGACGCTTCTGCCATCGCATTTTGATGCAAACAAGACCCTCCTGCTCATTGTTCGCTGGAGCTTTGTGGTAACTTTTCTTGAATTACAGATCAATATTAACTTTAGCAGGGCATTAATTCCCATAGGCAAAATAAACAAGCACTCCGCCAGGAAAAAGAATGCCTTCAAGAAAAGCCAGTGGCATTTTCTGCCAAGGTGCATAGAAGCCAAACATAGACTCTTTCTCAGGAGTTGGCATGCACATTTTAAAGGAGTTTCTTACAGGCTGGCCGGCGTTTTTTTAAAAAATTCTGGTAAGGCTGTTGTTGGTACTCAAGTTGGAGCGACATTGGCATTTTTTCAAGATATATTTATTGATGATGGGACATCCTATGATAGGATGTCCCATCATCAATAAATAGGATGTCCCATCATCAATAAATAGGATGTCCCATCATCAATAAATATATCTTGAAAAAATCAAATCGCCATTAGTTTGAGCTAACCCAAGTACTATGAGCATTAACTGGTACCAGTTACATGCCCATCATCAGCAATCTGGTGTGTCTTTGTGAGCCTCTGGTCTACAAAGCAAAGTTGGATTTCTTGAGGCACGACTGTCTCCTTCACCTTCACAAAAGAGGCACATACTCCGATGAAGGAGTTACATTTCAGAAGCCCCAGTTTGGGTGAATAAGATTTCTAGAGAGGCTACTGTTCCCAGTGAAGTTTCCAGCCCTTTCTCCAAGGCCTAAGCTAGAATGACACTGGAGGAGGTAAGTTACAGCATTTTCAAACAAAGCAGGGCCAAGCTTCTGGAATTCTTTCTGACCTCTTTACCAGCAGTGGTGGCCGTAAAAGGAATTTCTATTTCCTTCTGTGCAGTGAAGCAACGTAGCATCTCTGCATGGGCGCTTCTGCTCTTCCTTCATGCTGCATCTGCTGTGTTTGTTGTGTTTTTCTATTGTTCTTTGTTTTCAAATGTTTTTAACAATTTGTAAACTGCCCAGAGTCATTGGGAGTCAGGTGGCATATCAGTTTAATAAATTATTATTACAGGTAGTCCTCATTTAGTGAATGCCTTGTTTAATGACTGTTCAGAGTTTCGATGGTGATGAAAAAGGGACCTTGCAACCAATCCTCACATTTATGACCTTCGCAGGTCTGGAAAGCAAAGGAAAGCTGAAGTCAGATCATAAGCACAGTTGTGGCTTCACTTAGCAACTGCTTCGCTTAATGACTGAGTTGCTGGTCCCAATTGTGGTCGCTAAGCAACGACTACCTGTACTGTTATTATTGTTGTGTGCACATCTCCATCCCCCCCCAGGACTAATCAGGTTGTGTGCATATGTTTTGCTTGTGAATGCACGTCTCTTCCTGAGGATCTAACCAGGTTGTGTGCATTTGTGGCTATGGTTCCTTGTGCTGGGTCTATGTATCTGCATGTATATGTCCACTAAGATACATAAACTGAGCTGTGCATGCGCCATCAAGATCATGTGACCAGGAAGGAGGGAGCATTAGAATGGAGGAGACATCGCATTCTGAGCCATTGTCCAACACTGCCAGTACTGGGGAGACTTTCTGGATTTTTCTTCTCTGCATTCCCTGGCCAAATCTGGCCCTTTGGGGACTCTTTTTTGCAATTTCCTTTTCCACACTAAATTCGGTCCCTTTGGTTTTTTGAGAGTTATCCTGCGGATGGAGAGACAGAATCTCAAGTCCCTTTACGCAATTTCCTTCCAACACTGCTCTGAGTTGGAAAAAATAAAAACAGGAATTGCTCAAGTTTGCATAAGAAATACAGAGTGCCCGATACAGATGTTCTGGGGGCAGAATTTTAACTGCTGGAATTCAGACCTTGATGTTTCGCAGTGGGGACTCTGAATCTAAACCAGCCATCCCCAAGAACTGGAGGAACTAATATCCCAACCCATAATCAAAGCTGATCTCACTGTAGGGAGCTAAAAATCTAAGTGACCAGAAATAATGCAATTATTATGTTCTCCCCACAAGTTTTTGAGCTACCACCCAGGGGAAAGAAAGCTTGGTGTTATGCAACCTGGGACGCCTTTGGGGGCTAGGAATTTCCTTCTCCCGCTGCAAAATAACGTTTTCCAGATCTGCAGAAGTCTTCTTTCAGGTTGCCTCTTGAGATGATCAGAAGAGGATGCCCGGCATTCACTTAATTTGCACCTCTGGGACAAAAGCTGGGCACTAAAAGTCCTTTTCATATCTGAAAGGCTTTTCTGAACAGCTATGTCTCATGTGAAAATAATGTACCAAAGGTCTGCTAGAGGAAAACTGTAAAAATAAAATATTAGGGGAAAAAAGTGTGATGGGGAAATGCGCACAAATGTGTACTTTGTGGCAGCTTGAAAATGACAAGCTGGTGTGCAAAGGGCTACAAGTAAATTTAGGAATGGAAAAATGACCCCCCCCCCCAAAAAGAGGCAGCGACAGATGATTCGACCCCTGCTTGGTGTGATCTGTCTGGAGAGTAGTACTAGGTACCTGGGGCCAGGTACACATTCTTCAGCAGAGAACTGAGCTGTGAGAATCACAATCTTCTTCCATCCTACTCCACCCCATCTCCTCTTGGACAAAAACTGTGCCCAACACTGCTTTTAATGATTTATAATTAAAAGCAGAACAGGAGTTTGCAAGCTCTCTGCTTTTTCATGAAGATTTTGGGGTCTTCATTGTTTGTGGAGGGCTTTCAACATCAAGCCAGCTGCTGAAGTGGGAATTTTATCGGCATCAATTCATAGATTCTTCGTGAGATCACCACCAAAGGTAAAACATAAGCAGCTGGTCTTACAAGGAAGAACTTCCCAAAGCTCTTTAGACTATTTTATGGTTCCCAACGGATGTTGTATGTTAAATCAGCCAGCTTCCCCAGAAATTCCTTTTACATCTGTTTCCAGAGGGAGAGTCTCCTGGTCAGAAGAGAGCAAGTCTGTCCTGGCAAGCTTCCACTTTACTCATGACTCATTAGCATGAAGGCTATCTTAGAGGATTCAATTCAGAGTATATGCTGTGTTTGCATATAGAGATCAAGTTCTTTCTTGTTTTCCAGATCTGAATCGTGGGTCAAATAAGCCCACGGAACTTCAATCTCAATTTTGTGCCAGGAAGAGAATAGACAATTGGTTCTCTCTGCAGTTCAAATCATTTTCCCCCCCAGATGCATCACTCATAAGTCTCTTTCACTCCATTTCCCCATTAATTTGCATTTTTAAAAGGCCCACAAGAATTTGCATGCACATCTCTATTTAGATTTATGTCATTAAAGAGAAGATCCAGATTAACCTACAACGTCCGGACACAACGCACTCAAACAATTAGCCACATAAAACATAATGAAGACGTAAAACAAAAATTTTCCCTGATCCTTTGTTATGATGATCCATAGGGAAATAACGTCCATCAATTTTAAATTTACTCTACAACTTTTATGTCTTGCTGGTGGGCCAGGTGACTACTCCCCCATTCTTGTTGACTTAGTTACCCCTTTACAAATATCCTTCCTTCTTCTACTGAGACAGGGAACATGTCTCATGTCCAACACACAGCTCAAACCCTCCTCTCTGCATGCTGAAGATGTTCTCAATACTCCTGAAGTCATGGAAGGGAAGAAACTGAATTGTCCCCTGCCTCTATTCTCCAGCAGAACACATCACCTTGTGCCTTACGTAAGCCGCTCTAAGCAGAGGAAAGATGTTTCAACTCCCTTATAATAATCAGTTTGTTTCATTCATGATGCTTGATTTGCTGGGCTGCTTCAACCAAGTGAGGAAAAGCAGACACTTACCATCACTTTAATGCCATCCTTTTCCAGTGGAGTCTTGTCATATGTTATTTCACACACTCTCACAACTGTGGTTGCCCCATATTTCTTCAGGTCCTGTGCAGGAAAAAGGGGAAACAAGAGGAAAATATTTGAGATTTGAGTGCAGCCATGGCAATTCTCTTGGCTTTACATTTCTCGAGTAACTGAAAATTACTCTTTACACACAATGATGTTGATGGCTCATATACATATATAAAGGCAGAATTAAAAACCAACGTGCAGTTTCGCTTTGACAGTTTGCACCCTGACAATGTAGGCTTGGGGGTGCCCTGCATTTACTGGAGTCCCTCTGGACGAGACAGACCTTGGGGCTATTTTTGGTAGCTAAGGGCTGCTCTGAATTCTTTTTAATGGCCAAAACATGGTGAGGATGCAATGTGGGTGGGGAACTTCATCATAGGGGAGGGACCATGGCCAATGCTCTCATGTTCCCTGGGTGAGAAGAATCTTGTTTTTAAACATCTAATGCTTAGTTTAGAACTTACACAATACTTTTCTTGGACTTCTCATCTTGAAATGTCCAAAAGCAGTTGCTGTCAGATTCTTAGCACTCATAGTCAGAAGAAACTTGGGGATTTGAAGGTGCTGAACGTGCCCTAGGTCAATATCTGAGTCTCCAAAATGTGTAAGGTGGGTGAAGTTAGGATAGTTCAAGTGTCTATCAAGATTGGTTTTCCATGCTTGCAGCCAATTTTTGGAAGCTCACAAATAGTTTAAAACAATGCTACTAACCAGCCCCCCAACCAGTAGTCAGAACATTGTTGTCCCTGATACTGGAAGTACTGTGACTACTTTGCTGAAGCTAAGTAGGTCTGTGTACCATCTAGGAATCTCACTACTCTTGAGCTCCAAGGCAGAAAAACGTGAGAGAAATTCTGAGTGGGTAATATGAAATTATAAGAAGCAATATTTGAGTCAGAGGCATTTGCAGGTCACCTTTTTATCACTCAGCTGCATCATCTACGTACAGAAGGGCAGCTGGCAAACAGCTAGCTGCTTTAAAGCACTTCAAACAGGTGCTACACCTTTTTCAAATTATTTATGAAGATCTTCACAGCCCTGAAAGTCACGTAACGTTTTAACTGATTTCCTCCAATGACAAGAAGTCATCTGCTAAGGCTACGTGGAGAATTAAATGTGGCATTTACCCTTCGGAGGTCTGGCTAAATCCCTCCTCTTAAAACTAGCCTTTTAGTGCCATTATGACTTGACGCATCTGCCTCTATTCAAATCCCTGACCATCTTTTACATTTTGGGGGGCGGGATGTTAAAGTACAGATGTTGGGATGCTGACGGCTGCCCTTTGAGACAAGACTGATTCCGGGGGATTACAATCATTGCAGGTTAGAAACGAGGAAGCTGTTCAGGTAACTAAGCAGAGATCCAGGATGAAGAACCCCTTGTCAGCACTAAGACAAACCCACAAGGGTAAACACGGTAGATTAAGACAAGTGCCGATACAGAACATCCAGCGTGGGTGGATGGGAATATTGATAATGGGACAAAATGGTTCCTTTGCTGCTACTTCAAGTGAACATTTATTCCAGCCAGCAAAAGGCAACCATCTTTTGCTGATCCTTCCAAGAGTAAACAAGGGCATTTATTTTTAATCCCCGTAGGTATGCAACAATTTCAGCTAGTTGCCCGTGTAACCAGAGCAACATCTGCGGACAACAGAGCCTATTGGAGGGAAGGAAGGGGAAGGTACAGCTATAAACAGCACCCTGGCCAGGAGCCAGGTATTAAAGCAAAAACTGTACATATCTATGCACTCTGCCCAGGCCAAAACACAAGAGAGTATGAGAAGGGGAACAGAAGCAGCCAGAAGAAGGGCGTCAAAACACATGAAGAAATACGTAATTTGGTCTAAATCCACTTGGAAAAGAAGAAGAAGAAACCACCAACCACCTGGTCTCATTTACAGGTGATCAAGCTACACCCAAACTTGTCTGAACAAGCTCAGTCAGCAGGGGAAAAAACTGCAACCATTCCCAAGATATAGTTAGAACCCTTGCTTTGAAACGGCCCTAGAATTTAAAGTAGGATCCGCGTAAAGCTTTCTCAAGTCAGAAGGCTTCAAAACGTTTCTTGAAGATATTGACAGCTCTCTCTGGTTTGCTGCTTAGGTACTCCATCTGGAAATGGTTTCCAAGATGAGGAAGGTACAAAGAAGGGATAAATGGCAAAAAAGTTACAGATATAGCCCCATCTATATGCAACAAGGTCATTTTAGATACTGAGATAATCTCCACAGAAAGAAACACTAGTTATGTCTTAGAAGTGAGGTTACTTATAGTTAACCTTCTCAAGCTTAATTCTTCCTGATTACACAGGATGTGTTTTCTTGGCAACCATACAGGAAGATTTGCTACTATCTTCTTCTAGGATGCTGACTTCCCAACATTGACTAGCCTACAACATTGTGATATTCTTCTGATGGTCTCCCATCAAAATGCTAACCAGGCTAGAACCTACTTTGTTTTGAAGCCTGACAAGTTCAAGCAGCTGTGTGACCTTATTTACATCTAGCAGTGAGAGGTTACTCAACACAGCTTACCTCAATGAAAGTGTTCAGTGTGGCATTGGTTGGGTTGTGGGTTATCAGAAACCTCATATTCTTGTAGCACACTTCCACAGGTGCAGGCCTGTTCATGCGGGCCATGGTGGAGACAAAACAAGATTGACTGGAGGGGCTGGGTCAAAAAAACAAAACCACCTCCCGAGAAAAAATGAATTGCAAAGCGAAAGGAGAACAAAGTTATGAGAGTTCGACAAGACTTTCTTTCCCCTCAATCAATACAAACGTTGTGCAAATAGAGTAATGTTGGATTCTCTAAATCCTCCAATTAGAAAAAAGAACCCTGTGCTTGATGCTGAGTAATACTTTTTTCTCTTTTAAAAAAAATCCGTAGTGTGCATTTTAAGTAGTCGTCCTTCAGTGTCGCCCAGCTTCCCTTCTTCGTTCTCGTCTTGTTAGAAAGGCCTCTGCATTCAGCGAAACCGCTGGTGTTCCTCTTGGGCTGTCACGTTACCCCATCTGGATATGTAAAATATTTGGGGGCAGTGATGGGAGCCCGGGGCTGCTCAGGATGGGGCAACTGCCAGCAGAAGTTTTCCTTTGACTTCAATAGCCATCCACAGGATATCTGAATGGTGAAGCCCAAGGGGTCTGGGCCAGGTTTGGGCAGGGCACTGTCCTCTCTCAACGGGTGGAATGTTGCGCGTGGCAGTGCTCAAAGGTGCGCCCAGGCCCCTCCATAAATCCACAGCCGATCAGCATGCAGGACAATCTGAAAAAGCAAAGGGGACACTTTGATCAGACTGAGAATTCCACCCAAGGTTTCTAGGTTGCAAAACTTAGCAGAAGGTGGAATTACAGAGTTATATGCATCTAGGATATCTTTCCCAACCTGCTGACCCTGGATGGGTTAAGCCTGTAAACCTACAAATCCCAGAAGTCATGGCCAGCATTCTGGTGGCTGCTCTCCCCAAATATCTGGAGACCATCAGGCTTGGGAAGAATGATCCAGGTACACTGGTTGTCTCTGGCTGCTTTGCTTATTCCAGAATAATCCTTCAGCTCAGTATAAGATCTTTGGAAAGACTTTAGTCACCTGGATATGCAGCATGGAACAGCGAACAATGGACTATCCTCACTTTTCTCTTTTAGCTAGGAGATGGGAACCCAAAAGGCTGACCTCACTAGCTTGAACTGATCCAGACAGTTCTACTGTCACAGTATGGGGCACATGAGGTCATAATAGAGAACAGGGAAGGGGGCAACCTCCCTCTAACCAATCAAGGCTCACCCAGTCTGTGAGAAAACCAATGTAACTCAAGGAACGTGCAACCAAAGGGGTCCAAGGGCCTAGAAGGAGGAGTGGAGGTAAGGTTACCTTTTTAAAAGTCTGCTGGTCTCAGTACTCTAATTTGGCTGTGTGAATTAAAGCTGCAGCATGCCAGGTCGCAGAGGAGCATCAGAAGCTACTTTAGATAAAATCAGCCCACTTTCTTCTCTAGGACCTCAGGCACCTTTTTTCACACTACTTGCTAACCCGTCTTCTCAGCTAGAATGTACAACTGCGCCACAGATTCAAAAGTAACAGATGCTGAACTTAAGTGCTGGAAAATTACCAGCACTTGCCCTGCAAAGAATTATGGAAAGGCCACCGTGCCCCCATATTTCTAGTTTGCAGCAAATCTGACATTACGTTTCTGCCAAAGGCATTCATGCAATTGTAGTGGTAAACCAGGAACATAGCTAAGGCTGTTATTCCTTACGTAGCTTTGATGGAAGCACAACCAGCTTTTGAGAAAACAGATTCAGGCAGTTTCTCTATAGTATATTCTACGTTTTGGGCAAGTCAGCCTCTATTTAAATTAAACAGGCAAAATCACGTGTACTACAACTGGTAAAATTATGTGTACCGTGTCCCTGAAACTTCTGCCTCCTGTGCTATTTCAAACCAGTAGATGGAGAAAGCAAATACTTATGCATTTTCTGTAAATAACTGCATTCACACCTTCCAGCTCCCCTCCGCCTTTTGGGTGAGAAAGGTCAATTTCAACTTGAATCTCAAATCTGTAAGCAACGTTCTGCTTTAGGTGATTCATCTCTCAAAATTCTGTACAGCCTTGCAATATAGTGTGATATGAATAATAAACATGGCTTGGGAACTTCAGATGATAAGAAAACTTTGCTAATTGGGGCCTAGAAGTGTACGCATTAATCTCTCACTACACTAGCCTTCCCCAGCCTAGTGTCCTCCTCCAATTTCCACAATCCACAGCCAACACTGGTGGGCACCAATCTAAGAGGCTGGTGCTCATCAAGACCTGATCTGCTCAAGGTCATCTCCCTTCTCTTAGGGGGAGGGGGAGAGAGAAAAAAGAATTGTCTAAACCAGTTATGACGCAGATCTTTGCAAAAGAGAGAAGCTGCTGGTGGTAACAGCAACATTAGATGACCATCCCAAGATGATGGCTTACGTCATGAACTTTCTGGTCTCTCCTTGGACCAAAGTTCACTAGTAAGTTGGGTCATCTGGATGTACCTGTTTCCAAGGTCCTACTGAATCTGGGTTAACAAGGTACACTACAAAAATGTCCCACAGCTTTGGGTTTTGGGAGCATCAACGGCAGAAGGAACTGAGGCAGAGATGTAGATCATGGCTGAATCGTAAACCCAAAATATCTAGATGGGACTTGCCACATAGCACTTACCAAAGCTCTTCTTGTGTCTAGTTCTTGAGGAACACTACTGGCTGATAAAATCAGAGATGAAAGAAAACTCAAGTCTTCCTGAAATCCACCAGAACTAAGTTGGCCATCCCTGAATCCAGGAACAGCCTAACCTGAGCATCCTCAACACAACCCTCATCAATTTGGTGCCCTCTGTGTGTAATTCTGATGGCAATTTCTAGAAACGTTAGAACTAAACTAAAACTTCCAGAATTTATCACAGAGAATTCCAACACCTGTAATTGGGATTCATTTGGAGGGTTGAAATTCAACCCACATATATATTATTTAGTATCTTGCAGTGTGTGTGCCTAGCTAGCAACGAGAGACTACAATGCAGGTGGACAAATCTGCTCATGACGTAGAAGGCAACTTCCACTGCCGCTGGTAAACCCTGAGCACATGATCTTAATCCTGCATTATCAGTCTCTTCTCACCTGCTCTGAACCCAAGGCAGAAGGATGGCAAATGGGAGCGAGCACAAGCTCTGTAATATACTTAACAGTGCCCGGAAGAAGGATCATTAATAGGAACTCAAGGGTTCATCAATGCTACTTTGAACTTTTGGTTCTTTGATATCCTTGTGGAAGCCCATATCTAAATGTGACCAGCATCCTTCCTTCTTAGTAATGTTAACAAATACTAGTTTTCATTTCCAATTCCGTTATTTGAGAGCCACTTCTTGCTCTTTGCTCCGGGAAAGAGAAGGTCAACAGGCTTCTTAGGTTAGCTGGGTGAAAGACGGGAACAGAGAAATAGGCAGTGCCATGCAGTAGCTAAATATCTCTCTCTCCATTCCACTCCCAACTCCAGAAAATTAGGTAGTTGAGTTTCCAGAAATATGTGCACAAAAGTGAGATGTAATGCACTTCCCCACCCAGTGTGCCCCGTAGCACTGTTGAAAGTGGGGGCATTCTACAGAATTTTGTGTTTCTGAAACAGATGGCGAACCAAGATATTCCATCATCCATTATCTTTAGACAAGACCTCAAAAATGCCAAGGTGAATCTGTGTTTCCTCAGGAAGACCGCAATGAAGATACAGTTCTAAGGACAGTTGTGGGGTGTTATTTTTGAGGCAAGCTTTGCCACCCAATGCATTTCCACACACTGGTAAAGAAGGCAGCTTATTTAGGAGTTAAGCATCAACTTTCATGATCAGGAAAGAGTCAAGAGAGAAAGCTCATATCTAAGGGCTGAGAAGAGCCCTCTAAAAGGGTTGTGCTATTTTGGGTACAATGCCTTCACTTGGCAAAGCAGGTATGAGATTAGAGCCGCTGACCTAGACATTGAATAACAAGATGCCGAACGTGCATGGAAGGAGAAAACCCACACCTTACCTTTATTTGTCCGGAGCTTCCCCCACAACAGATTTGAAACACCACAATGCCATTCAGTTTCTGAATAAGCAGAATGGATTGAAACTCCCTGGGTTCCAAGGAACACCGTGTCGTGGATAGACTAAACTTCTGAGGTCACCTTCACTTTGTGCCAAGGTACTTTTCCCATTTCCTCAGAGGTATCTTCCTCCTTCTGGACTCTACCTTCCTTTCAGTGCAGGAGAGATGTTCCTATTTTCTGCCGAAAGCCTGTCCGTGCGTGACAGAAGGACCGGCAAGAATATGCCTGTGTGTGCAAAGTACTGAAGCTTTCAACACACCTAAGGATCAGCCAGAGGCAAACACAGGCTTTGTATATCCCTCCTACAGAAAGATGGGTGTGCCGGGCAATCGTCATCAACAATTTCCTCTTATTTTCCACCCTAAAAGTGCCATGCTGAGAGAGACATCCGCTGATCAGAACTCTGCCGAATCAAAAAGGCTTTGGCCAACCCATGGGAGAAGCTGGCTAACCTGGGACACAGTGAGGCACAACACAGAATTTTCCTTGAAGGACCACACCGTGGACCATAAGGCAGGGCAGTCCAAAAGATGGAGGAAAGTTTTAGTTCTAGTCAAATATTTGAGGAAGTAATTGCCCCTATACAGAGTCAGATCCATCAAGGTCTATGTTGCCTTTACTTACAAATGGGGCTCTCTAGGTTTTAGGTAAGATCTTTTGTAGATCTACCTCAACATAATGGGTTCAACAAACTAACACTTCTTGCATTCAAAATCTGCGTCCCATCATTGAATTTAGGCTCCTACCCAACCGAAAAGTTAGAACAGCTGGATCACCCACTAGCTGTAGAGAAAGGCATCCATAAGGGAGCTGTGCAAACCTTATTAACCATGTTAACTTGCTAGCAATTGGCTGTCATTGTTAAGAAGAAAATAACAATTTTGATTACCAATTTTAATCACAAACTTATAGCCTCGTGGGCCTGGAGGAATGAAACCAACTCAAGAGAGCAAAGGATTCACGCAAGAAACAAAGCACCAAGTAAGAGAAAAACCTCTCGTCTACACACGTGAAATACACAGTGCATGAATAAATTGGGTGGGTGAGGAAAAGACCTCTTGAAAACTAACTTGCTAAACTTCTGGGCCAGCTCGGCCCACGGAGAAGTCTCCTATGCCGCAGTTTACCTTTTGCACGAAGAAGACAACTTCCTGGTTGGCCAAGCGCCTTCGCAGCCAGCTCTGCAGATGCTGCTGGTTCGAGTTCCCCTGAAAGAGACTGTCAAGCTAAGCTGCTGCTGTGATCTGCCCCAAAGCTCATTTTGCAATGCTTACCTTCCGCCGGGTCACAGGCTGCTAAGCGCTAGCGGCCGTGGCCTCAAATTAGAACATGTAAATAAACGCAGGAGAGGGGAGGTTTCTGCAGGCTTTCCAGCCTGAGCCGATTTGCATTCGGGGAGATGCCCGAGAGACGGAGAACGATGAAAAGAGGAAGCACAAGAAAGCCCCTTGGCCAGGACACTGACTTGGTTATTCACCTTTTCTTTTAAAGCCCACCAGCTGTTCAGCGCCAGCTTCGCCCCTACGGTGGATTCCTGTTACCGGAGCCTGCAGCGAGCACCACAGCGCAGAGGAAATATTAAATAGATGGATACAAACTGCCATTTTCAAGCATTTAGGCGCATTTTGCTCATAATGCCAACTACGCAA